ATTACATGGAGAAATGTTGGAAAAGTTTGATTGTACTCCATATTTTCAGCCATACACACTAGTTTGTCCTACTTTCACTAGACTATTTCTCTTCTTGGTAAACACTTGCTGTGCTTTGGAGAGAAGATGTGCACCTAATCTAAAAAACACGTCCTAATAAGGATAACAAGTGTGAATGTGATGAAAAGGACGGGCCATGTCTGTGTAGTGTAGTCTGTTACGTCTTTGCGTTTATGGCTTGTATGGACCAAGAGCAGATTTATAATTTAGTTGCGACATCACTCAAGATACTCAAAGGCATGGAGTCAGACTGACTCTTTTTCACTCTGATAATGTTCTAAATTTAAAGTAAAACTAGTTTAATTTTCAGTAAAAATAATAATTAAAAAAAGTTTGCGTATGAGCATCATATTTGATACACCAGGCTATTATGACTCATATAGTATGATATAATGAGAACCTGGAGGAAAAAACAGCTCTGACTAATCTCTAGCTCTGTTTTAATTAGAGGCCCAAGCTGGGCAAAAATATACAATTTGGTGCTGATGTTTTTATGGCAAAAAAGATGAAATTCTGATAGCTTGTAATGTAAATCAATGAGATCTTTATAACAGTATAGCAGATACTTACATAAAATGCATATAAATACCTCTTTTCACACTATAACCTATCTCCCAATAACGTCTTGGTAAGATGATATTTAAATGCTTAGTTTTATGGTCATAACATATAATGCAATGCAATACAATGATGATTGAGAAATGAACAAATAAACATTCCTCAAATGCCTGATGGTCAGATTGGATACTCGCATTTGAACATGATCTTTCTTAAAAATGATGTATGCATATTCAGGAAAAAGTTCAGCAAAGTTTTGTCATTGGTGGCCATAGAAATTCATGTTTTAAATATGATACAGTAGCTTTATTAGGGTTAAAGTGTTTGTGGCGAACTTAGTTGTTGATTTCCAACATGCTTTAAATCATTTACTCGCCCTTATGTTCTTTCAAACCTGTATGCTGTTATTTTTCCATTGCAGCACAAAATAATTTAAGGTCTTATGCATGAAACAAAGTGCATCAGGCTTTTGGGGAGCTTCCATTGCATTGCATTGCATTATATGTTTTAAAACTACAGAGCTTTTTATAATAAAACTAAGCATTTTAATATCATATAGGCAATAAAATGCCTGTTAAGCTCCAAAAAAAGCATCATAAAACTAGTCCACATTGACCGTATGTTTCGTGTCTTCTGAAGTCATGCGATGGCTTTTTCACACGTGGTCACGATGAAGTGTCATATGAATAAGAGTTGCATAAAGATACGTCAGAGTTTCTCCTTTTGTGTTTCACAGAAGCCACAGTGCCTCAGTCTGGTCATATTTTGGTGCTTGTCCTCTGTGTGTTCACAGAAAGGCCATGTGAGGTTTGGCCGGGGCCCCGGGGCAGAGCGACTGGCTCTAATGCTGTTAATCTGGATCTGAGCCCCAACTAGACTTGTGCCAGTATTCGGTAATGCGATATATCACGGTAATGAATATGCACGATATTGTTATCATGGGCTCTTCTAAATACCGTGAATAATTATATATTACAAGTTATTCAGAATTTTGAATGCATTTTAAGAATACTTTTCCCATCAACTGGTCAAAATGCACAACACCGCTGTATGCTGCCTGAAAGACAGGTGCGCACTCTGAGGTAAATAAGCGCGGACTAGAAGCACATGGCGGAACATGTGAGAGACGCTCTGGATGAAAGCGCACTTTCACTCTCTGACAGCAGATGGCGCTAAACTGCAGAAATAATAATAATAATAATAATAATAATTCATTTAAATGCAGCCGTTACCCCGGAAACCCTGTAAACAAAGCAGCTGCACTACTTCCTGTTTCTGAATCATGTTTAAATTATGTAAATAGCCATTCAGATTTGTGTATTTGCTATGATGTTAATCACAGCGCCAAATACTTAAATATTTAGACTTAATAGGCTATTTATTTTCAAACTTTTTTTACATTTTAATCTGGACTACAACATGCCCTAAATATTGTTTGAAAGTGTTTTGATTCTTTATTGTTCGGTCACACTTTACATTAGGGCTTCATTAGTTAACATTAGTTAACATAAACTGCCAATGAAAAATTCTTCTGAACATTCATTAATCTTAGGTAATTACAATATTTAATAACACCTTGTTAAAATCTAAAGTTGCAACTGTGTTATTTAATGAGCTAACCTGAACTAAGACTTGTATTTTTTAAACAAGGATTAATAACTTCTGTAGCAAATGTTGCTATTGCTCATTGTGAATGTTAATGCATTAACTAAGGTTAACTAATGAGGTCTTATTGTAAAGTGATACCTATTGGTCTTTATAGTTCTTTTGCACTTTAATCTGTGTAAAACTTTTAACTTTATACATTTTTCTGTATTGCTTTATTGCATTTAAATGTTCAGTTATTTTTGTTATAAGAAAAAAGTTATTAAACCTGTTATACTGTATTATGACAGCACTTTAAAAAAAAACTAAATTTAAATATCGTGATAATACCGTATACCGTGATAAAAGCATTAGCAATTAATCGCAACATGAAAATTTGATACCGGCATATCCCTAGCCCCAACTGTGTCATAAAGTCATATCACCCTCAGTGCAAAGTACCAGACATTAAGAGCAAGCTACTGTTTTATTCACGACTGTTGAAGATCTCGAGGGAGGTTGAGATGTGATTAATTCGGTGCTGCTTTGAGATTTGTTCTCAGTATAAAAGTGTTTAATTAAATTGCCACTACATCTCAGAGAAGCCAAGCTGAAGTCAGTTGTTCAATAGCTGTCAGTGGGAATAATTAGCCGTTGCACTTTCGTTACTGTGGGGTTTATTGTTTTCCTTAAAGGAACAGTTCGCCCACAAATCAGATTTGGAGAAATGTAGCATTGCATCACTTGCTCACCAATGGATCCTCTGCATTGAATGGGTGCCGTCAGACTAAGAGTCCAAACAGCTGATAAAAACATCACAATAATCCACAAGCAATCCACACCACTCCAGTCCATCAGTTAATGTCTTGTGAAGAGGAAAGCTGTGTGTTTGTAAGAAACAAATCCGTCATTTAGATGTTTTAACTTCAATTCTTTGCTTCTGGCTAAAATATGAGTACATAATCCAAAATAATGCTTCCTTCTGAGAAAACATCCATCTCCTGTTGTCTCTCACATCAAAATCCACCCACATATTTGTTTTGGACTGTTTTTGATTGTAATGCTTGATCTGTGCAGATTTCTCTCCTGATTCAGACGAGATGACTTTTTCGCTGGAGAAAGCAATATTATAGATTATTGTATCGTATTTTAACCTGAAGCAACGCTTTGAAGTTAAAAACAAACTAATGATGGATTTGTTTCTTATAAGCATGCAAGTTTTTGCTTCACAAGACATTAATTGATGGACTGGAGTGGTGTGGATTGTTGTGATGTTTTTATCAGCTGTTGGACAGTCATTCTGACAGCACCCATGCTTTTTGACTGGTTTGTATTTAGATTGGCTCTTTGTCATCAAATCTTCCCATGTCATCTGTATCGACAAACAAATGGTCATAGACTGCTGTGAAGCATCTGTCCTGGCACCAAACGGCGAGCACAGTGCACAATGCCAGCGAGCCATGCCAGAGAGAGGAAACAGATTTTTCCAATATTGTCTCTGAGCCCCACTGAGTCCTTTATACAGCTCGGCCAAGACAGAGGAGAATTGTTCGCGAACCTCTTGAGGGAGGGCAGATATTAGCCCTGATCGCTCAGTAACACAGGTTTTTGTGCTCATTGCAAAACTGTTGATTAATGTAATATTTTAGTCCAACTCTGTTCTTCAGTGTTGACAGAACTCGTATCAAATTGATCTGTCATCAGCTGTGTTAGACAGTAATTATACAAATAAATAGCAATGCTGCTAACTTGTTGGAATTTTTTTGTTTTTTAGTTCAGGGATTTCAGATATATATAAAGAAAGTTTGGATTCTATTTGTTTGTTTTTTTGTGTTTTTACATCTTTCGACATTTTTTAAATATTTTCTTATGTTCATCAAGGCAGCATATATATATATATATATATAATTTTTTTTACTGTTAATTTGTATTTTATTTGTCACACATGGCTCTGATTCATATGTGTGAGGTTTCGAGTGTTTTTCTTTGCTTTTATTTTCATAATATGTAGCTGTTTCTGCACTATCAAACTTACCCTTTAATTGTTACCAATAATCTGATAAAAAACTTTTTTTTAAAAAAGTATTTAAGCCACTAGATTGTCAAACACTGGCCCATCTCTGTATCATTTTGTTATAATATATAATTTCCAGCAAAAATAACTGTATGGTGATTTAAAATGACTCATACGTTGGAATAGATTTTGGTCCAACCGCCTACCAGAGTGTTTTTCTTTGCTTTTATTTTCATAATATGTAGCTGTTTCTGCACTATCAAACTTACCCTTTAATTGTTACCAATAATCTGATAAAAAACTTTTTTTTTTTTTAAAGTATTTAAGCCATTAGATTGTCAAACACTGGCCCATCTCTGTATCATTTTGTTATAATATATAATTTCCAGCAAAAATAACTGTATGGTGATTTAAAATGACTCATACGGTGGAATAGATTTTGGTCCAACCGCCTACCAGCTTATGTATGCTTTCAAAGTAGCTTCTCCTACACTGTTCAGCAGGCTAATAATACACCGCCGAGCGTTATCATCAGGCTTCATGACACGCCGTACCAAACCCAGAGTCTTGTCAGCAGATTTCAGCCCATGTTTTGTGGGCGACACATTCCTGACGCTGTCTGGCATGAGCGGAATGCTGTCCAGATTTCAGTATGTAAATGCCTGTCTTTGTCTCATCTCTTCCTGTGGCTCCAAAGCAGGGGCTGCTGGGAAAAGACGTGTGAAGAGACTTTGTACTGGGGTTGTGGGAGCATTCTGACAGTCCATCTTCTTGTGTTTTTCAGTCTCCACGTGTACGGCCGTCTGTAAGAAGAATCCTCCGCCTATTCCTCCTCGAACCACCTTCAAACCCTACATCGCGGTGACGGTCCAGAGCAGCACCGAATCGGCCCAGGACACGTACCTGGACAGCCAGGACCAGCGCAGCGAGGTCAACAGCCAATCAGGACGCAGCAACTCCTCCGACAGCATCGCCAGCTCTCGGACAGGGAGTCTGGTCAAGTGCGCCAAGCGGCAGCCCATCCTGCCCCCCATCCCTGCCCCGCGGGAACCCGTGCCCTTGCCCAGCGCCAGAGTGACCACGCCTCCTCCCGCCATCGTCCCGCCCTCTCCTGCCCCAGACGCCAAAAACGAGCCCGCAAGCCTCACAGTGGCACCCAACAAATCGCAAGCCCCGCCCAAAAGAAAACTGTCCTCCATTGGCATTCAGGTGTGTGTGTGTGTGTGTGAATATTTATGATGTCGTCATTATGCTTTTATGCTAGGGCTGCACCATAAATCGCATGCGATTGTCATGCGCATCTTATCAGTAAAGCCGGTTCTGTAATCAGTAGTAAATCTCCATCATGTGCTTTCAGATGGAGCAGCATTTACTACACCGAGCCGTAGTTCTTCGCGCTTACACCAAAAGCACGCGCACCAGCACTGATCAATATTAGTGGAGCGCACAAGCCACGCTCAGTCTCAAACAGCGAGCCGTAGTTCTCTGACAAGCTACGCAAAACAAATTTGCAGACGATATATTAATGCGATTATGAAATCGAAGAAATCGTTCACGATAATGACAGCTGTTTGCGTAGCTTCTCGGTGAAATACGGCTCTGTGTAGTAAATGCTGCTCCATCTGAAAGCACGTGAAAATACCACATTTAATAACATGTTTTTACTCCAAACTCACTTCATAACGTCAGTCGAGTGTTTGAAATTAATCCTTCTGTGAGATGATGTGGCTTCTTACTAGTGCTGTCAAACGATTAATCACGATTAATCGCATCCAAAAGAAAAGTTTGTGTTTGCGTAGTATATGTATGTGTTAGAGATGCACCGATCGATCGGCCAGGGATCGGAATCGGCCGATTTTCCTCATGATCGGCCCGGATCGG